ATACACAAAAAGTGACACAGAAAATCTACTGTAGCTATTTTCTAAAGGCTTATACTTAATATATAATTGAAATTAAATACCCCGCATTAAAAATGAATGAGGGGTGCACTCCATTTAGAAACTTACACATCCACTTGTGTGACTTCTCATGCTCATCGCTTGAACAAAAATGAGGAAATCGCCCCAAATTCAAGAGAAATTCAGAAATAAAAATAATAATTTCTGAAATTTAACCTGGATATTTGATAGAATACGACTTCCTTGCATTCATGGACAATCAATATAGGATGAACTCCACAGATATCAAGAGCTATGAGAAAAAGATAAGAAAAATCTCAGTGATAACTTCCAATTTCTCAACTAAAATCACTTTTTGTATGCCTGAGCCACAGTATTTTCTTATTATAAAAAAATTCAACCAAGGGAGAGAACATCAAAATGCTATCCAGTTTCCCAAAATTATTCCAAAAATCTTCAAAACCCAGTCAAATTGAAGCAGGAACTACAGCTAGGACCTAAAAGAGATTAGCTCCTTTCCTCACCAGAAAGTGATCCCTGTCACCCTAGCTCTCCAAAAACTGATTTCTAGGGTTTCTCCTCTAGCAAAAGGTTTTTGGTGCTGATACACCTGAAATTTCCCAAAATATATCGATTCTCAAAGCGGAATCGACTCTTTTACTTCCCAAAGAGTGAGGAAGGCAAACGATACAGTTACAAAAGAGAGTTCTGACAAAAACAAAGCGCAGATTTCACAGTAGAGAAGGAGAAGATGCGAAATTGCTTCCTCTATCATAAAAAACTAGAATGCCTTTTCTCTTTTGGGCTCAGAGTGCAACCTGGTTCTTAGACGACTGTCAAATTAGGGATTTTAGAGGGTTTGGGTCTTCAGTTATATGGTTTTTTGCGCAAATGCTCATAAATAATTTTTGGATTAAACGTTTACAAATTTGAGAAAGAGTGATGAGCCCACGACACCCTCCGTCTGCCGCACACTCATGTAGGACGTAAAACAAGATCTCCATGACACGAATATCTAAAAAAGTTTAAGTCCTATATCAATCCAATGGGATAATTTTTTTAGAAATTTTTATGTGATTTTTAAAGATCTTACACATAAGGGTATATCAATCCAATAAGATAATTTTTTTAGAAATTTGTAGGTAATTTTTAGAGATCCTACATATATAGCTATGGCTGTAAAAGAGTCTCATAGGTTCATTACTCTTTAAAAAATATTAAACCAATTTTAACACATAAAACATAGTACTCCAAGAACATTGTTTGAATTTTGAAATAATCATTGCTTTGGCCCAAAGCTGATCGGCCCGGTCTTTTACAAGATGAGGAGCTACCGGCCGAAAGAAACAACCCGATTCTCTACAAAGTTCCCCGATTCGAGCAAAAAATGAAACAATTCACCTTTTTTTTTTTAATTATTTAAATAATTTAAATAGGATGAGAGATATGGTATCGTGTGTATAGTACATATTTTGGCCATTATTTACTTCTTTTATTCTCATTTTACCGCACATTGGTATATTTAGATGGTTTGACAGTATAATTATTGAAGAGTCTGAATGTGTTTTAAGGTGTTCAAAACTCTACTTGTCTGGAAATTATACTTTTGAACAACTCAAAACACAAACAAATTGATATGTTGTGGGTTTTCAAATCTTCAATTAATCTATGGTGTCTTAGGCGGTCTGAGAGTTAAACATTCAAACCGCCCGAACATATGTTTTGGGGCGATTCAAAATTTAAACTTTCAAATTATACAAATGTATAATATTATTTTCATATTTTTGGTGATTTTGGAACCATGGATAAAATAAAATGATAAATAAATAAATAAATAAATAAATAAATAAAAGAAGTAGAACGTCAACACAAAAATTAGAAAACTGCATCTTTTCTTTTCATGTGTGGTTTGTATACACTTATCCAAAAAAAAAAAAATGCATGGTTTGTATAGGGATAAGGTCCTAAACCCTAAAAAAAAAGTGCACCATTAAATAGAGTCAACAGATATTATTTCAACACTGAAAATCTTTGTGATATTCTGAAAATTTATTTTCATATGTAATTGTAAAATTTAAAACTTCAAAAACAGGGTAGATCGTACAGATATTGAACACTTGAAAATTGACATACCAAAAAATACAATACAAGATGCACCATTTACGATACTTAGAATCGATTTTTTCTCATTACATCTTGCGGTCCAAATGATGGATTTGAGAATTTTGAGGCATTGAAACAACCTCTTAAAAGTGAATTCTTATGATGCTGGCCTCATGTAAAAATCATTATATGAACTTTTTCATTTACTTAATTCTTATGACTTTTTGCTGCATGCACAACTTTTTGTTGCATAATGTTTTTTTCTTTAGCCCAATACCCAACTGACGGATTTCCTCAGACGCGGATCGGATGACGACTCTCATAAGCATGCAAGCAATATGTGGCACCCAACATTCAACGATATACTCAATATTCAATGCATGTTCAATGGAAACAAGAAAATAACCAAATACTCAATGCATGTTCAATGAAACAGAAAAAGAGCCCGGGCTTAATTGGTTAGCGCTTGACAATTTGTAATGCACTGTCCTCAGCTCAATTCATATCAATGATAAGGGCCCTTTTCCCCCCTTACCCAAAAAACAATGTTCCATGGAAAAATAATAATAATAATAATTTGGGCAAAGACAACACCTTGAAAAGAAGCATAAATGCCTCAAGTTATATAAGCAAGAGTAGTAGCCAATTTGCTAGAGAGAGAGATCCAATGTTACATGGTGGAGCAGCCAAATTTGCTAGAGAGAGAGATCCAATGTTACATGGTGGAGCAGCCAAATTTGCTAGAGAGAGATCCATTGTTACATTGTCGAGATAGAGAGAGAGAGTGTGTGTGTTGCATGGTCAAGGTGGTTTTGCTTGGGACTGAAAATCGGATTTGGTATCTTCTTATCATAAAATTTAGGTGAGGTGAGAGAAGAAAGGATAAAAGCAAACTCCTGACAATAAAGTCTTGCTAGCAGTTGAATGATATGCCTCGGACTGAAGTTGTGGATAGAAAAAAAAGGAAATATATATAATGAGAGATCACAATCATCATTAACTCTTAATTTGAAATTAGGTGATCGAGAATATATAATTATTTTGGCATAGCCCACAACAAAATTTTTGAAATATTGTTGTACACTTCCATCTAGTGCATTTCACATCCAAGAGCTAAAAGCGAATGAAACCTACTTAAATAAAAAATAACTTGTACCAAAACAAAAGTAAAACTTTCCCCTAAAATCTTGTTCAAAATTCCTTAATAGGCCTATAAAAATATATTTCCACAACCAATTATGAATTTTATATTTCAAAAAATGGTACATACCTAATAGATCCACAAACACGAATAGACGATATAGACGATGTAGATAACGTGTTACAATATATACTACTTTTAGGACTCAAAATCCTAATTCTTTTCACGACCATAATGATCATAGTCAAGTTCATCGATTTCAAAGTTTTCTGACATCAAAACTATAATTTTTATTGACTTTTGAAGTGAGCTTTTACTATTTGTAATAAAGCTTGGTCTTATTTTAAGACTTTCAAAAAACAATACGAAGAGATGATGAAGATGATAACAAGGCATATTTATCAAACTAAACTCGAGAGATTAATTATTTGACATTTTACCAATGTATTTTAATTTAATTTTATAAAACCCATAAATCCACACAGGCGGGGTCAGAATGGTTTAAAAAAGGTAGTTGATGAGTATTTTTTTATAACTATTTCTATAATAATAGTAGGGAACCTCTTTGGGTTCCTAATAAATCTGGGGATAGTTCGCTATTAAGTGTTCACTGGCACTTTTGTGAAGAAGAAATTTTCTAAACAGAGCATGAAGCACGTCACAATTCGAGTTAAATACCCTTCGTCAAGCACCAATTTCATATTGCAGTACAAAGTTTGAGAAAAATCACAGAGTGGACAAGAAGTAAACCAATATACTCGGCTAATAAATTTGACTCCTTTCTAGGTGCCACAAACAATGGAGAAGGATTCCAAGATCGATGACGGTCAGTCCATAGCTTAGAAAACCAAATTACATGTAAAATTGTGCATAGTTTTGAAAATCATATTACAAGAAAACTTGACAATAACAAAAAGAGACCATTTACATTTAGTACATGGAGATCACGATTAATCTGTAACTATTGGATGTAAAATTTGGTGGCTAAGCTTATTTCATTACCTAGGATCAAAAGATTTTTTCAAACTTTGTGACAATCAAGCTATCATACATCACATCGAATGGTTATAGATAATTGTGATCTCCTTGTACCAATAGTAAATTATCTCATAACGTAATCTCATAACAAATAACTAAACATAGAAAATAACACATATCTTGAGTGTGCTTTCTTAGTATCAAAGGACGAAATGGTGTGGCTTCATGGATCTCCGGAAAATTAGAAGTGAGCACTCAGTGCACTCCCTCAGGAGAATCATACACTTGCTGCCCAACCGAAATCATATATGAGAGATCTAAAATTACAATCTCTTAGCAAACCAACTCCAAACATTAAATGAATCTTGCAAAAACAGGACAAAGGAAAGAAACCAGGACATACAGGCGAACAATTGAATCAATTATGCATGCACATGTGTGTATGGACAGATACTGGTGAAAAATTAAATCAATTATGCATGCAAGCATGTGCGTTTGTGAGACTTTCACACGAAGATCTTACAAGCTGTCATATACTCCAGGAATTCAATCTATGTGTAAGTCCAACGGATGGAGTAAAGATCTTCACACTAAAGATTCCACAAGCTGTGAATTCACACTACAGATTCCACAAGCTGTGAATGCTCCCAGTGTTCAATCTATACTTCCAAGGATGCAGTAAGTATAATTTGGAGAGAGAGAGAGAGTAAAAAGTGGCATCGGCCTAAATTTGGCATGCATCCTCTGGGGTGAGACAAGAGACAGTAAATAATGGTATCAGCCTAAATTTGGCATATAAGCAAAAATAACTAAGCACACAACAAGACTCAACAAGTTGATCCCCAAAATGATTCTAAGTTTTTTTTCTGAACATACAAAACGATTCTTCAGTTTTAATTAAAGAGAATAGAGAGGAACCAGGTTTCAAACAAAAGGGGAGCGAGAGGAACCAGGCAAACAGTTAATCAATCCCCAGACACATCAAGATTCTTCCTGCTCTTGATGATAGCCTTCTTCCTTAGGTCAAACTCCACCTTGTCCAAGTCCCAAGCAGTCCCAACATATCCATATAATATCCTCTTCTTTTCGCCTGTCTTCTCGTCCCCTTTCACAAGGTTAGGGTTCTTCTCGTCATCTTCTTCAGGGGTTGCCAATGACTGAACATGGGCCCACCCCCTGCGACCATGGCCCTCTCTTTCAAAGAATTCAGCCAAGCGTTCTGCCTCTTTAAAGCCAGCCTGGTTGGCCATAAACTTCACCACTGTGATGCCAAGGTGCCCTTCTTTACCATACATTGATTTGGACTTTCCACCTCCAAAACCCAGCTCTGAGAAATCATAGGAAACAAACAAAGAAGAAAGATTGGTAGTTGATGGTGCACCAATACATGGGAGCTTCTAGGGATTCGTAGAGCATCTTAAAAAATTATGCTCTCTCTCTCTCTCTCTCTCTCTCGCTCTCTCTCTCTCTCATCCACCTATACTTCCATACACACACCACACGGGAAAAAAAAAACAATGGCAGAGAACAAAGCTGACCAATACAGACACTGTTGGTATAAAGCAATCCTTGTGAGAGGAACATGTACAACGATGGGTGCATATATAGACACACACATAGATACATGCATGGAGGGATGGTTGGCAGCCAGAAATAACCAAACAACTAAAGATTTCTACCAGGAAAAACAAAAAGAGTAGAAGCCAAGAACAGAAGCCATGCATCCACTCCTAGTGATAAGCAAACTTCATCCCAGCCCTGATTTCCCCACTCACCCAAAACAAAGGCCTACATGTAACAGTGAAATACTCAGCACACCAATTTCCAGACATCAAAAAATTCCAGAACACAAATCAAGAGACAAATATCATATATACTATCTAGCATGACAACTCACATCTCTGGTAAATGGCTTGAGAACAGCTTCACAAGGAATCTAGGAGAATAGGTTTGGAATTTGAAGCCCAGAATAAACTGTTTGTTCTCAAACAGTTAGGACTAACACAAATGACATATCAGAGGTGAAACTCTAAAAACTCCTTATACAATGTCATTGCATAGCATGGGTGACCAACAAATGTCTCTTTTGACAAGAGATAGAACAACCAAGGGTTTGGCTCCCTCATCTAGTGTTTTGTCTGTTCAATTTAATATATAAAATAATAAATTCAAGTGGACATGTCTTATTGTAACAGAATTTTTTGGGTAAAGACATGTCGGATGCCAACACTGTGTTTGCATCCATGTAACACTGCCCTCATCAAACGATCATTCAGGCACATTAAAACTTTTTAAGGTCAATTACAACAAAATATGATAAGCAATCTACTCAATCCATAGGCTTCCTGTGGAAAAATCCCCTCCCTCATTCTGACAACAGCTTCGATAACTGCCCTAAGCTACTTCAGCTACTACTGTTCTTTACTACATAGTTTGACTTAATAGCATCTTCTATCACCCAAGCGTAGTTTTTACGTGATGCAACTTGGTTTTCTGGTTTTACCATTTGAAACTTTATTTGTATATTGTTTTTCCGCTTTTTGCTGTTTTAGAGGTAGAGCACCGACATGTGGGATGCCTACTGACGTCTGTCCGCTCTCTCTATCTCTGATCCCATCTAACTCTCAATCTTCCAAACAAAAAAAACAAAACAAAAAAAACAAATAACAAAATCTGATTTGTGGTTTGGTATTTCATCAGCATGAGGATAGACCACTGAAACTTTTCCCTCTCCCCCCAATTTCCGACTCTATCTCTTTCTCCTATCCAACTCTGCCTCTTCTGATTATTTCTCTCTCAAATCCTCTCTCACCAATCAACCTCTAGTACTCTAGCCCTCCCACCACCCTTATCACTTCTCTTTTCTAAAATTTCTCTTTCATTCCTTACTGATTCTCTCCCTTTTCAGAGCTAAGCAAAGGTTTTAATGTTTTTTCTTCTTTTATAATCAAATCCTCTCTCACCAATCAACCTCTAGTACTCTAGCCCTCCCACCACTCTTATCACTTCTCTTTTCTAAAATTTCTCTTTCATTCCTTACTGATTCTCTCCCTTTTCAGAGCTAAGCAAAGGTTTTAATGTTTTTTCTTCTTTTATAATTTTTAATGTATGCTTCTAAGCACCGACATGCGGGATGCCATCACCCACATACATCTTTTGGGTTTATGTAAACCATAAACCATTAATTAATATATTTGTCACCTTTATGCAAAAAAAAGGGTATAGGTGGTGGATTGTGTTAGGTAGGCAGCCAACGCAAACTATTTCTCTCTCAAACTGCTCTCTCTGACCTTAAACTTTCCCTTAACCCATCCCAAGACCCGGTAAAGGAGGTGGGTTGTGTTAGGTAGGCAACTAATGTAAAACTTTTCATGAATCATGAAGTCTTCAAATACTACATCGATTTTGTGAGAGATATATATGACGGAGTGCTAACTAGTGTGTGAACAACTAGTGAAAAGACAAGTGAGTTTTCAATGACAATAGGTCTACATCAATGGTCAGAGAGCCTATAACTCTTTTGTCTTAGTTATGGAAAACTTAACTAGGCACCTATAAAATGAGGTGTTGTGGTGTATGTTTTTCACGGACGAAATAGTTTTGATCAATGAGACCCAAAACAGTGTCCATTTAAAGAACTTTTGGAAGGATGCTCTAGCTAAAGGTTTTAAAATTAGCCAGACTAAGATAAAGCATATGGAATGCAAGTTTAATAATAATAGGAGTAGAGACGAGGAAGTAATTAATATTAACGGCCAATAAATACCAAAAAGAGTGTACTTTCGATATCTTGGGTCGATAATCCAAGAAAATGGAGAGATTGAAGAAGATGTCACAAATGGAATTAGAGTTGAGTGGGTGAAATGGAGATGTACGACCAAAGTTTATATAATCGCCGCATAACAATGAAGCTAAAGGGGATAATATTATAGGACAGTTGTGATACCATCTTTGCTTTACGGGTCAGAATGTTGGACAGTCAAGAAATAACATACCCATAGGATAAGTGTAGCTGAGATGAGGATGTTGGGATGGATGAACGGCAAGACAAGAAGTAACATAATTTGAAATGAATACATTCAGCAGAAGTTAGGTGTGGCTCCAATAGGTGATAAGATAAGAGAAAGTAAACTTCAGTGGGTTAGCCGTGTGCAACCAGACCCAGTACAACAACTGTTACGAGGTACAAATTACTTCAAGTGGAAGGTTCAAAAAGTCAAATGGTAGGCCCAAAAAGACATGATTGGAAGTAATGAACAAAGATATGGGGACCTATGGCCTCACTAAGCGTATTGCCTTTGATTAAGCAGAATGACGGACCAGTATTAATATTGCCAACCCCAAATAGCTGTAAAAAGACTCTGATGATGATGATGATGAAAAAAAAATGATGGTCACTTATACAAATTTAGTAAATATACAAAAGCATAGGCCTTGCAAACAAGTGTCTGGCTCAACAAGAACAGCGAAGAAACCAGAAAATCTGGTCAGGTTGGGTTTTAGGAACGGTATATAGAATATGAATGTATATCGAGTAGAATGATGACATATTGTAAGCTTCAATTTGAAGTTTACAGGAATATGAGAGAATAGGCTCAGATTTAAGGCCCGGAATCACAAGCAATAAGGGTTAACACAAAAAACATATTAGAGAAAATTAAACTAGTCACTAGACAAGCAATGTCACTGCACAATGACAAGCATTAGCAGAACATTAAACTAGTCACTGGACAAGCATTAGCAGTTAGAACAGCCAACATTTTTAACCACACCATCTAGAGTTACCCTGACACTCCAGCTCTGTGCAGGTATTGCATGTTAGCATGCGTTGACCACCTCCAGACAAGAGGATGCATAAAAATCTTGTAAAACTCCAACCCTGAATATATACTCAAGGACTTGCTTGCAGAACATTGGCATGTTCTACCACTAACAAGGAAATTATAATATGTAAGATAGAACATTGGTGTGTTCTGCCACTAATAATTGTACAGACATCATGTATAGCATATGACCGTATATCGAGTAGAATGATGACATCATGTAAGCTTCAACTAGAAGTTTACAGGAATATGAGAGAATAGGCTCAGATTTAAGGCCCGGAATCACAAACAGTAAGGGGTAACACAAAAGGCATATTAGAGAAAATTAAACTAGTCACTGGACAAGCAATGTCACTACACAAGGACAAGCATTAGCAGGAAATTAAATTAGTCGCTGGACAAGCATTAGCAGTAAGAACAGCCAACATTTTTAACCACACCATCGAGAGTTAGCCTGACACTCCAGCTCTGTTCAGGTATTGAATGTCAGCATGTGTAGGCATTATAAAATATTGGAAAACTTACAAGACCTGCTTGCAGAATATTGGCACGCTCTACAACTGAAAAGAAAATTATAATATGTAAGATAGAACATTGGTGTGTTCTGCCACTAATAATTGTACAGACATGCAATCCCATATTGCATTTTTGGGCAAAGTACTACATAATTGTGACATCATGTATAAAATATTGGAAAACTTCAACCCTGAATTTATACTCGAGGACTTGCTTGCAGAACATTGGTATGCTCTACCACTAACAAGGAAATTATAATATGTAAGATAGAACATTGGTGGGTTCTGCTACTAATAATTGTACAAACATGTAATGTCAAATTGCATTTTTGGGCAAAGTACTACACAATTGTGACATGTGTTCAATACCAACTCTCATGTTGGTGTCCATGTAACACTGCCGTCATCAAAAGATCATTCCAGGCACAACAAAACTTACAAGACCAATAATAAGCTACTCAAATCTGTGGGTCTCCCAAGCAAAAACTCTGACATTTCATCCAAAAAAAATGAAAGACCTCCAACAGTATCCATAGCTAACCCATTCTACTTCAGTAACTATTGTTCTCTGCTCCATACTTTGAATAATAGCTTTCATATATTGGCTACCTATAAGATCAGTACAAATATAAATGCTTAGGCACTCTAACAAGTGTCTGGTTCAATAAGCATCACGAAGAAACCAGCTAATCTGATCACCTTTGGTTTTAAGAAAATCCCAACCGTGTATAGAAAACGACATATATTACATAACATGATGAAATCATGTAAGCTCCCATCACCGTCAAGAACCAGTCTACAATTTGAAGTTCCGAAAACTACGAAAAGAAAAATTGCAATAAATCAGCAAGGATAAGATTCTAGAATCATTGAAATTAATAAGGTAGGTCCAGACTCTAGAATCTAACAATTTATTAAGCAAAACTGCTTGATACTGAAGCAAGCCAGCTAAAAATTTATAAAATGAATCAAATGTCTAGTCGTCTACA